TGTGGGAAGAATTATTGATCTTGAGCAAAATTTCTTCCACCCATCCTTACTATCCTTTGCAAAGCATGAAGGACCCTCATTTCTATTCAAGAGTTCTTCAGTGTTCAAAATTTCAATAGAAAAGTTTGTTTCTCTTCCCTGTGCCTTCTCATCTCCAAGCATTCTGTGGGGGCTTCTTTCTTTCTTTTTTCTTTTTATTTTTTGTTGGGACTGGGGTTTGAACTTAGGGCTTTTCACTTGTAGGAAGATGCTTATCCACTTGAGCCATGCCCCCCCATTCCTCCCTCCATGATAGCACATCATGCAGATATGATGAGGAGAGCACACACCATGCTCATTCCACTCTATTTCCTAGGGGTTTTTTTTTGGTGCTCTTTTTTTAAAGTGATTAGTTTTCTACCTTTTGTTCTAGTCATCACTAAGGCAGGCAGTGAGACTGTTACATCCCTTGATGTGGCCATGGTATTTCTATTAATGCAACTGACTAGCATTTGCTCTTTTCAACTGACACACTAAACTCATGTGGGGTTTGGATTCAGCTAAAACCACAACTCCTAGCCCTAGGTCCTCCCCAAGTCTAAGAAGCATGCATGTTAGCCAAGTTGTAGACACTAATAGAGTTGGAAAGGGCAAAGTCAGAGGAGTGACTGGTATACTGCTAGAGATTTCCTTCGTTACCTCTACTATCTGAGTAGGCTTAAGTCCCAGAACCAATTAGATATCATTTACGTTTGAAGAATCCTTAGAATGCTTGGATTTTCCTTATCTACCACATGCAATGTGATTATGTCCCTAAGCATGGCAAAGGACATTTACACTAGGTGTCTCCACAGTTTGAAGGTGTTTTATGCCTGGATGGGCTGTTGGACCTTTCAGTAAATGCACAAATTAGCCAGATTTTTTTTTTTTTTTGGTGACACTGGGGTTTGAACTCAGGGCATCACATTTGCTAAGCAGGCGCTCTACCACTTGAGCCACTCCACCAGCCATTATCTTTTAAAGGAAAAAAAAATTTGCTAATATTGGGAATTTCCTTAGAGTGGGAGCAGGTACCACCCAGAAAGGCATGTAAATCCTCACACACCTTACTGCAATTAGTGCAAGGGGCTGGGCTCCACATAATGGATGAATGGGAATATGCCAAAGTCGGCCAGCTCTTACCAAGGAAGACGCATGGTTGTGGACCCACTTAAGACCACCAAGAACATACAGTGAAGACGAAAGGAAGAAAGTGTCATGCCCTGAGTGGTTGGAGTCAGGGATGGAAGCACAGTTTCAAGGTAGGTCTTAGGGGTTCCCTAGACTCCCTCCCTCCTTTCCCCGCATTCAGCTGGAGTCCTGATGGTAAGGTCTCTTAATAGGACACTGGTGGTGTCTGGCTGAGGAGTAGCTTTTGGGAGCAGGATCTGAAAGTACTTTCCTTGGCACACTCGCCCCATTCCCTCTCTCTGATCCACATAGGCCATCTTGCTGCATCGCTTTGCCTTTCACTGCCCCCCTCCACCCAGAACTCCTTCCCCTAGAAGGGCTAAGCCAGCCCTAGTGGCTCAGGCTTGTGCCCACCACAAGCCCCTTCCGCCTCCTGGGCCTTACTCTGTCCCGGTGGGGGTAGGAGGAGAGAGGAGCTGCATCAGGCTGGCACAGACTTCCACAGTGCCAGAGCTAGGGGAAGTGACCTGCCAGTACGAGGTGACCACACCCTCCTTCCATCGCTATAGAAACGACTCCCACCCTTTTTGTGACTGCAGATGTGTGGGCTTAGGCCCTGGTCCAGTCCCAACCACCCTTCACATCAGCCTAAAGAACCAAATACATCTCTTTTCCTTCTCCCTCTCTTGCCCTAATTCTTCATAATTGAATGAGACCTCAACACAGAGAGCTTAAAGTAGGTTGAGCAGACCAGGAATAAGAAATGATCCCTTCCCTCCTCTCTTAAAAAAAAATACATACATACATATATATACATACATATATATATATATATATGCACAAGGCCCTCTGTTCAAACTCCAATATCACTAAAAAAAAATTATGTGTAAGTACAGTAAGCCCATTTTATTCAGATTCAGTACATGCAGTCAATAAATTCTTAAAAGGTCAATTTCAAAAAAGTTTTAAGTTATGCATTGATGTGGAGAAGCTGATAGTCCTGTGTTATTGTCAGTTGTGTCAAAATTATGATCTGCTGAGTGTTTCCCTGCCCTTCATTTTGTGAAAATCTGGCTCCCCCAAAGCAAATGGTGCCCAAAAAGGCAAGGTGAAAGCTGATATGCTTAATTTGAGTCATGAAACAAAAACCTGAGATTTGTTGCAAGGTGTCATGTCTTTAGCAGAAGTAGGGCAGCATAATGGAAAAAATGAATCAAGCATCAGCAGTATGGCACTCCTTGGAACCATATACCCATGGACACAAAGGGCTTACTGTACATAGCAAAAGTCCTGGGTACAATTTATTCATTAGAGAAGTATTTTTGGCATGCTTAGTCTGCACCAGGTCTCAGGAAAGCATGAAAAGTAAAGTTCTAACAAATGTCAGTGGCTTGCTATTGAGTGGTCCATGCAGAGTAGAGATTCAAATGAAGCCATCTGTGTTGGCCAAGGGTTTAGGACAGTGTGATTTCTCATTGATTACATTGATTGATTCATTGATTACATTGATTGATATAGTGGTGTTCCCTCCCTGAAAGTGGGAGGAGTTAACCACCATCCCAGGAATTCCCAATAAATTTTTATTACTTAAAAAATAAATAAATAAATGAAGCTGAGTCTTTAAGGGTAAACCGTAGCCATGCAAGGAAAGCAAATGCCCACCAGTCTGAAGTCCCATAACCATGGGAAAGCTTGGTACTGTTGGTACCAACACTGTTTGGTGGGTCAGGGGTCAAAGTGAACATAGGCAGATGAGACAAGGTTGAAGAAACAGGTAGGGCCAAGCCAGACATGTGAACTTGATAGACTAAGGTGTAAGTGTGTATGGATTTTTAAGCTTCTGCTTACAATACCCTTCTAGGTGTTCATGCCTATTTCACGTTAGAAAACTGCGTGTAGTAATATAAATATGAAAGACAGGCAAAGGAAGGTTAAGAATCAAGTCAAGGATGCTAAATGATGGTCAGAGACAGCAACTTGGACAATGGAAACTCAGACCATGAAACAGAGCTTAGTGACTGGGTATGGTGAGAAGACTAAACCTCAGACACCTGCGCTGATGGTAGTGCCATTCACCAACAGAAAACCCTATGGGGAGGAAGACACCACGTGTGTGTGTGTGTGTGTGTGTGTGTGTGTGTGTGTGTGTGTGTGTGTGTGTGTCCAGAGCAAGATATGAACTAAAATGATTGTGATTTCACAGTCACTGAAATGTAAGTGACCACCAGAGTTTGAAGTTACCTAAAAAAAGAAAGCAGGGGTGGGGCAGTAGGGGGGAAAGAATGAAACTGCTGAGAACCCCATTCTGTGGTAAGAGAAGTGGGTGTAGGTGACAGGAAAAAGATTAGAAAGCTGCAGAATAATGAAGACCAGACTGGCAGGCAGGGAAGAAATACAAAAGGTGTGAACATGAGCCAAAGAAGTAAAATGTTTTGATCAGGATGTGATGAATAGGATGTGGATGAGGTAAGAAAAGGGTATGGTGGGTTTGGCGACTGAAGGTTATTGGTGCTTTCAGCCAGGCAAGTTTTAACACAGTGGGAGGTAATTTTCAAACAGAAACTGAAACACAGGACAAAAATTCATCAAACAGGTGCCAGATGACTAGTCAATGACATCGATGACCCAACACAGAGCAGGTTCCTAATGTTTACTGATGAATTGTGCCACATAGAGTACTTCCATATTATAGAACTGGAAAATCTGCTCCAAAAGGGGGTGGTGGCAGGGTAGGTGAGGTGGTATATGACAGTATAAAAATATACACTAGGTAACATAATGTACAATAGTAATAAGCAAATGCTCACTTCAATCATGATTCAAGATTTTTTATTTTCACCTTAACATTAGATGTTTTCATAAACAGAGAAGAACTGAGTGGGGTATTACACATTTTTTGCTGGTTAACTTGATTGAATTTTTTAAAGAGTGATCAGGAGTGTGTTGAAATTTATCATAAATATAAACTACACATTCTCATTTTTATTCACAATAAAGTCAAATCTAAGCTTCCTGAAAACTGTACCACCTAATATCCTAATAGAGACAACTAGAACTTGACAGTCAGTCTTTAAGAAACTGGCTTTACATAAAGTGGTTAAGAGACACTGTCTCCCTGTTTGTGTTTGCAACAAAAAGACCAATATTCTTTGCAGAACTCTCACTATATCATGAAAGTGCAAAATCAGAGACAGATAGATGCAATGGTATCAGAGAAAAGACATTTCAAAACTTTTTCACTTTTATTAAAGATTTTGACAATAAAGAGTTCATAAAATGTCATTACATCCTACTTGCTATATAATATCCATCTATTTCCAGGTAGGAGATATATGCCATAGCTCATTAACTATTTTGATATGTACAATGATTCTAAATTCTTACTAGAAGATTTAGCTAAAGTACAAAACATTCTTGTAATAAAACTGACAATGTAGCTTAAACAGCTTACAAAAGATTTCAGAAATGTCTCGTGAATACGATTCTCAGCCAGATAAACTCTAACCAGTTCAAGTCAAGGTGTCATAAACTAGATAGAGATGGGAAGGATCTCATGACTTTTCACATGACTAGAAAAGAACAATGCATGATAGGGACTTCCTCCATGTCGAACTCACAACCACTTAATGACAATACAATGTGCTCTTCAGAAGAATGGCAGATGCTCACAAACGAACCTCTTTCTGAAGTCCTGGAGAGCTTCTCAGACAGCGGAATCACAAAATGAGTGGAGATCATTTATGAGACATGTAAAAGGGTTCCTCTATATTTACAATACCATCTTCAACTCTAAACACAAATCAAGTATTAACACACTTGCAAACTTACTCTCTAAATCAAACATCTCATTGCTACCACATTTGGCTGCTGGTGAGATTTGGATGCAACGGCTTAACTCGTGCTAATCGGGACAAGCCAAGGCGGAGGCTCTGACTTGGGGACTTGGTGGACACTCTTGCCAGTGGGCTGCTGCTGTAGCTGCTGCTTCCAGATGCAGCTGAAAGAGAACATAACACATGATACTGATAATGCCAGAAATCTCTTAACAAAGATTAATTTATAAAACAAAAGCACTAAAAGCAGTTAGGCACTGTTCTCCTTTCTTAGTCTCTCATACAGTAAATGAGATCCAAAGTGTTCAGTACTGACGAGAAGAAAAGAGTCAGGTTGAACATCCCTAACCTGAAAATCCAAACCTGGAAAAACTGAATTCTGAAATGCTTTTGGTCCAAGCACGAAGACAATCAGATGGAACTGAGTAACTCCACTCGTTTAAAGGGGCAGGATCCCCCAAGTCCACAGTCCCCACTTGCTCACATCTGTTACTGGGCCCAGGTCACCCACTTACATCATCTGCCTGTAAGCACAGGGTGCTCTATATTAACTCTTTATCCCATCTTCCTGCTATTGTCCTTTTATCTTCTTGATTATGCTACGTTTTAATTTCTATAGTCATTGTATCACTTCTCTTACATTTCTTCCATTGAGAAATCACTATTCTCAGAATATAATAAGGGTTACTATTTGATATGACATCATTATTTTAGTAGCTAACCTTCCCTCTTTTTCTTCTTTAAAAACTTTTAAGTCTTCATTAAAAATCTCAAATGTTCATACTCTTTTACTGTGGTTCTTCTACTAGGAATTTTACCTCAAGAAAAATGAGTATGGATGCACCCACAGATTTCTAAAATAAGAATGTCTCTATTTATTGCAACTTTATTTATAGCAATGACAATAATCAGATACAACCTGGACGCCTAATAATAAAAGAATAATGAATAAACATAACAACCAAAACAATGGTTTTGAAGAATACATAATAGCATGGGGGAAGCGCTCATGTACACCATTTATAACTAGGAAAACATTGGCTGGTCTTAATTCTCTAAGTCCCTGCCCTTGGTCGTAAATACTCCATACCTGGTGGAACCCACTTAGGTCTCCTGACTTCAGCTGAAGGGCTGCACATTTGTACTGGCTTCTTAGTGGCCTCAGAAGAAACAGAAATCTTCTTGGGTGAGGACTGAGATTCTGATTTTATGGCAGTTGGAGCAGAGTCTACTGAAGTCACTTATTTGAAAAATATACATAAAAAAGTTTGTAATGTAGACAGATCAAGTCTTGTATGTATCTGTAAAAATTATAAAGTTTTATAACTTTACAATAAATTAAAAAGGAACTATCACAAATAGTTAATATTTACTGAAAGCCTAAGGATTGACTTTTTTTGGGGACAGGGTCTCACTGTGTATCCCAGGCTGGCCTCTGACAAAACCCTCTGACCTCAGCCTTCAGACTAGGAGTGGAAGTGTGTGCCACCACCTGGCTAGGATTGCCATCTTTTATGAACATTTACATGCCAGACAATGTAGTATCATACACATTACCTTCTACTCTTTACAACAACTTCCACAGAGATTATTACTAACATAGAGGGTCAGCAATTTGCCTGTAGTTTGACATCTAGTGTATGAGGCAAGGTTAGAAACCAGGTTTGATTCTGAAGTGCATAACTCTCATCATTATACAACAGCATCTCACCAGCATGTGTCAGAGAGACAATATCGTAATAGGCTCTAGGGTCACAAACAGTAAGCACACAACTCATAGATCCTGTTTCTAAAGAATTTGTAGCCTGTCACTGGACTCTAGTGGGAAGGAAAGTAAAGAGCTCTGTCTAGTACAGCATGAAGGGATATTCCACATTCTAGAAGTACACCCAGTAGGAAAGGAACTTAAAATCTGGTAGTGTGTTTAGAAGTGACAGGGAGGTGGGTGAGGATGGGTTGAGCAAAATCAAGTTTGAAGAGTAAAGATGAGTTGAGGGAAATTTCTAGGCAGAGGGAGTACAGCATGCAAAGCTGGAGAATGTGATCAATGTGACAAATTCTGCCCTTTCTAAGACCTGTTCTGGTTCAGTATGGCTATAGGAACAATCTCAAGGGCAGGAATAGTGAGAGTCATTCAGGGTACAACAATCATTTGTAAAGAGCTCTGCAGGACAAGTAAAGGAGTCTGGCTGGTCACAATCATGTGCTTTCTCAGAAGTGACTTTAATTTTAAAAGCAACTTTCTGGATTTTGGTGGCACATGCTTACAGCCCCAATACTCAGAAGACTGAGGAGAAAGATCATGAGTTTGAGGCAAGCTTGGGCAACATAGCAAGACCCCATCTCAAAAAAAAAAAAAAAAACCTCAACCAACCAACCAACCTACAACAACAAAAATCCCTTCTTTTTGGTGATAATGTTGGGCAGGTAGACCACTTTGAAAGCTATTAGGATAATCCAAATGAAGGTGATGAGGACCTGAATAAGGCAGAGAAAGGAGGGGAAACAATGCACTGGGTTTTAGAAATCAGATGGGTAGAGGCAGTAATGGGGATGAAGAAACTATCCATGACTTGAGCTCCTGTCATGGACACACCGCTGATGGCACCATTATTCAAGAGAACGGATGCAAGAATAGAGCAGCTTTGGGGTTTGGGGGTGGAAGCATAAAGAGAGGACAAAAGTTGGAATATGAACTCACATTCAGATAATGCTGGCTTTATCTGAAAGGGTATCCAAATACATATGGATCTGAAGAATTTCATGATATACTCTTCCTAATGTTAACATCTGTATATTCCAAGCAGGCACTGTCCTACAAAACTTTCTATGAGAAATTTTCTATATTTTGTACTGTTCAATATGGTAGACTCACATTCAGATAATGCTGGCTTTATCTGAAAGGGTATCCAAATACATATGGATCTGAAGAATTTCATGATATACTCTTCCTAATGTTAACATCTGTATATTCCAAGCAGGCACTGTCCTACAAAACTTTCTATGAGAAATTTTCTATATTTTGTACTGTTCAATATGGTAGACACTAGCCAGTTACAATGCACTTGAAACATGGCTAGCAAAACTTAGCTGATTTTTAAATTTTATTTAATTTTAATTAATAAATGTAATACAGCTCCATGTGGCTGGTGGCTACTGTGTTGGGCAGCACTGCTTTCAGAATTTTTGATATCTAGGGAAAAATTATAATGTATGTTAGATAAATAACAATCAAAGGTTACCCAAAACATTACTAATAGGACTAGAAATACAATCCATTTTTTCTCATTCCTAACCCTACTAATAAATTTTTGTTTTCAATATTATATGCTAATCTCCCTTGTGAAGCAACTTACTCCAAGGTATGTAGAGAAGACTTTAAATGGTAAATACCAACTTGGAAACTGAAATTTTATTTTTAGCTTCAGTGTGTCTTGGTGAAGATGCACAAATAAACATCTAAAGAAAATATATTCATATTAATGACTTTTCATATCATAGCTTGTTGGAGGTAGAATGACAGCCCCTTAACAATGTCTACAGGCTTATCTCCAGAACATATGAAATGTCAGCTTACATGCAAAGGGGTGTTGTACATTAAGGACCGTGAGATGGAAAGATTACCCTGAATTGTCTGGATGGGCCCAGTGTAATCACCAGGGTCTTCTAAGTAACAATGACAGAGTGACACAATGTGAGAAAGTCCAGATGGAATGAGCTCACATACCCTCTACAAACAACAAAAGGCAGAAAGTGAGTTCTCCCCTACAGCTGCCACATGGGAACCCAACCCCTGGACAGCCTTCAGAACTGTAAAATAATAAATATGCATTGTTTTAGGCCTACTGTGGTTTTAATTTATGGTAATTTGTTACAACAGCATTGGGAAACTACTACACAGCTTTACCTCTAAAAGTTCCTACATTTAGGATCTAATTGTGGGTAGGTGCGGTGGTACACATTTGTAATCCCAGTACTCAGGGGAGATTGAGGCAAGAGGATCTAAAGTTCAAGAGCAGCCTTGACCCTGTCTCAAGAAAGAAAAACAAAATCCTGGGGGAGGAGGTGGGGAAAGGGTGTGGGAGGGGTGAATATGGTGCAAATACTGTATACACATGTAAGTAAATGGAAAAATTATTCCTGTTAAAACTATTCCAGGAATGGGGAAGAGAGTAGAAAAAAGGAGAATGATGGAGGAGGTGAATTCAAGCATGATATATTTGATATATTATAAGAACTTTCGTAAATGCCACAATATACCCTGAGTACAATAAAAAGAAAATCTATTTTGTGGAAATCAGATGAATCTGTCAATTAAAAAAAAATACAACCTTCTTATTAAAACCTCAACTCAAAATAGAGCAAAGAATGTGATTCAATCAATATGATATTTAATTTTTATTTAATTCTTAGTACTCAGTACCATGTTAGTTAAGGTGAGAGCAACTCCTACTAATAGAAAGTTTGAGCAATGGAAATTTTAGTTTTGGATAACATTTGTATACATATATAACGTATCTATAATATATATTACATATACATAATAATACACACACACGTGAATGAGTACACTTGCATGTGTGATTTTAAAAACTAAGGCAGGCCAGGGACTGTGGCTCACACCTCTTATTCTCCTCCAGAAGACTCATGGTTTGATGCCAACCCAGGCTAAGTTAACAAAACTCCATCTCAACCAATAAGCCAGGCATGCTGCTACAAACCTGTGATCCCAAATACTCAGGAGGCCTTAGGTAGGATCATGGTCTGAGGCCAGGCCTTGGAAAAACCCAAGACCCTACCTGAAAAATAACTAAAACAAAAAAGAGCTAGTGACATGACTCAAGTGGTAGAGTGCCTGCCTGACGAGCATGAGGCCCTGAGTTCAAGCCCCAGTACCACTACCACCATCACCACCACCACCACCGACAACAAACCTCTAAACTTTTCAACACAAGAAACAGGTATTCCATGTCCAAGTTGTCGAAAATTCCAAAAATTTCATTATAAAAAATGCCTTACTGGATTTGTTTGGGAGGGAAAGATCCAAAAAACCAAAAAGCATCCTAAGCATTTTACAGAAGAGCCCTCAACTCAAAGACTAGGTCAAGTTTTCACAAGAACAAGACCTAGAATCATGCGATCATGCCTCTCTGCTTAATTGCCCAGTGAAAATGTGGTCTAGGGGCCAGAGCTTAGTGTCTGAATGGACAAACCTGGTTTCCAATCCCAGCCCCTCACTTCTCAGATGTAAGATTTCCAACAAATACTTAAGTCTCTCCATGCCTCATCTTCTCACTATATGGTGCAGGTGCCAACTGTGCACTCAGGTAGTTGTACCCTTAGTTAGTCAGTACAGCATGGTGCCCAGTATCCCCTCACCCAACCTTCTTTTATATTGAGCAAAATGTAAAGGAGAACAAAAGTAAGACAAGGAAAATACAGGCAACAAATCAAGCACATCTCCTTTGTAACATTAGGCTTACCCACAGCATCACATTTGGGTTTAGATTTCTTCTCTTTTCTTTCTGTTGAGAATTTCACCTTCACTGCTTTCTTATTAGTTTCTGTAACTTTACTTTTCCTCACAGTGAAGTTTATATCATTATCTTCATTTTCACCAAAATCAGAATTCTCTTCAGAATCTTCACCTGAAACAGAAGCTTACAGATTTTGTCCTTGTTCTAAAAGGCAAGGCTTCTATACCTCAGCTCAAGCCACAGCTTTTGCACCAGATTCTCATGCATCTCTGTGCTATGCTATTTCTAGTATAGAACCCCGTAGTGAGAAAATTGTGGGTGCTTGGCTTTGAATCCTGGCCCCTCCACTTCTAGTCTGTGCCCTCACAGTGCCTCAGTTTCCTCATTTAGAAAATGGGGATAACCACAAAACCTACCTCCTAGAGTTGTTGCGTGGGTTAAGTGTGTTTATGTAGAACATTTAAAATAACAAGTGGCAGACAGCAAGCAAAATATGTTGTTTGCTATTACTACTAGTACAACTTCCCACCAATAATTTTTATTTCACATTTTACCAGTTTAACTCAGTAACTTTTGAAAAGAAAGGTTGGGTATGATAATAGCCCATCTTGCAAAACAATGACGTTTATAGCAACAGGATACCTTACAACAGAATACCTTCCCTTAATCACATAAACTGGAATGAAGACCCATTGAGAACTGAGAAGAGACCAGAGCCCAGCCGACTTCACTTAGTCCTGTATCTAACTTCATTGGAGACACACCTCTACTTCCCACAGAACTTTTCGGGATGATAAAAGCCAGTGCTAAAATACGGAAAGCACTACAGGTGTTCTGGAAAAAAGCATTGCCTAAGCTACTAATTAAGCAATGGTCCTTCTGTATTTTCTTGGGAGGGAGGGAATTAGGATCTGAAAACCACACCTTGTAAGTAATAAACTCTGAAAACTACATGTAAATAAGGGTTGTTCTTATGTTCATACAAAACATTTTTACCCTTTTAATATTATGTACATGCTTCTTGCAGAAGATGTGCAGTAAGCTGGGTGCCGGTGGCTCATGTCTGTAATTCTAGGTACTCAGGAGGCTGAGATCAGGAGTATCAAGGTTTAAACCAACCCAGGCAAATAATTCTACCTATCTCGAAAAAACTCATTACAAAAAAGGGCTGGTATGAAGAAGAACGAAATGTTATCATTCGCTGGTAAATGGATAGAATTGGAGAACATCATTCTGAGTGAGGTTAGCCTGGCCCAAAAGACCAAAAATCATATGTTCTCCCTCATATGTGGACATTAGATCAAGGGCAAACACAACAAGGGGATTGGACTTTGAGCACATGATAAAAGCGAGAGCACACAAGGGAGGGGTGAGGATAGGTAAGACACCTAAAAAATTAGCTAGCATTTGCTGCCCTTAACGCAGAGAAACTAAAGCAGATACCTTGAAAGCAACTGAGGCCAATAGGAAAAGGGGAACAGGTACTAGAGAAAAGGTGAGATCAAAAAGAATTAACCTAGAAGGTAACACACACGCACAGGAAATTAATGTGAGTCAACTCCCTGTATAGCTATCCTTATCTCAACCAGCAAAAACACTTGTTCCTTCCTATTATTGCTTATATACTCTCTTCAACAAAATTAGAGATAAGGGCCAAATAGTTTCTGCTGGGTATTGAGGGGGGGAGAGGGAGGGGGCGGAGTGGGTGGTAAGGGAGGGGGCGGAGTGGGTGGTAAGGGAGGGGGTGGGGGCAGGGGGGAGAAATGACCCAAGCCTTGTATGCACATATGAAAAATAAAAAAATTTAAAAATTTAAAAAAGGGCTGGTGGAGTGGCTCAAGGTATAGGCCTTGGGCTCAAATCCTGGAACAACAAAAAACAAAAAAGAAAAGAAAATGTGCAGTAAAATGAAAAATAAATAGTACATTCTTATTGCAGAAAATGTAGGCCATACCAGAAAAAACATTAAAGGAAAAGAAAATCCAGTCTTTAATCTCACCACTCAGACATAACCAATCCACATTTTAACATCCACCTCCTATCTATGAAATAATATATTTTACATAAAAAGTAAAAATACATATAAAAATTTTCAAAGTACACAACAGTAAATAATAAACCACTACCTAGATCCAACACCTGTCTATATTTTGCTACATTTGATTAACTCCTCTCTCCTTTCTTCTCTTCTCTTCCTTTCCCTTCCCTCCTCCTCTTGTAGGTTATTATTAAATCCATGATATCATATCACTACACTCTTAAATACTAAAGAATGTATCTTAAAAACATGGACATCTTCTTACACAAAGCCACTTCAGATCTAGCAATATTAACACGTCTTCCTTGATTTCGTCTATCCAGACTATGCTAATCCCTTTTAATATACAGCGGTATCTGGTCCCCTTCCCTCCTTTGCAAACTAATGCAGGGGAATGTCTGAAATGTCACTTTTGGGCAGCTTCCACTCCTGGATATAAATGTCTCTTTAAGACCCTGATTTCAGTTGTTTTGGATATAGACCCAGAAGTAGGATTGTTGGGTGACACACTAGTTCTACTTTTAATTTTCTTGAGGAACAGTCATACTATTTTCCATAGCCTTTGCACCATTTTAACAGTCTCACCCATAGAGCACAAGGGCACCATTTTAACAGTCTGTGTGTTTGTGTGTTTTGAAATAGCCAGGTGAGGTGATATCTCATTGCAGTTTTGGTATGTGCATTCCTCAAATGCTTAGTGATATGAAACATGTTTTCAGATGCCTTTTCATCATTTGCATATTATCTTTGGAGAAATGTTTATTAAGTCTTTTAGCTATTCACTTTTAAGAGCAGAGTGGCAATTATAAAGTCACTATCCAAACCATGATTTCTATATGAACTATGTTTTTATGAAATGGCTCAAAAGAGATTATCTAAAGTTGGAATGCAAAGAGCAAAATATTATTCTTTTAAGCATTTATCATATCACTAGAAACAGAACTCATGAATGATACCCCTGGAAAAGATACTTAATAAGACTGATGCTTTTTTTTTTTTTTTGCCTTCAGTAACCTTACACTGGAAAGGAGTTAGAGCAGCTCAACTTTGCCTTGAGGGTATTTTCCTTCACTGGCTCCTTCTTTTTGGTGCTCCCCTTGCATCAGTGTTTCCTCAAAGTAAGATCCATAGACCACCTGTTTTGGGGTCAACTGAGTCAGGTAGAGGGTTGATATTGGTTAAAAAGACAGATTTCTGTCCTGTGGAGTCAGATTACTTTGGAAGTGAGCCTTGAGAATCTGTATCTTAACAAGCTCCTGAAGTGATGCTTCGAATCTTTATATATATATATATATATATATATATATATATATATATATATGTATGTATGTATGTAGTGCTAGGGGTGGTGCAAAACCTGTACATGCTAGGAAAGCTTTCTACTACTGGAGCTACGCCCCTACTCCTTGGATTTTTGAGACAGGTTCTCATCATGTAGTTCAGGCTGGTGAACTCATGAAGATCCTTCTGCCTCTGCCTCCTGTGCTGAAAATACAGGCATGACTCCCACACCTGGCAGAACTATTGATGTAAGTGCCACTTTCCTCTAGATTCCTCCCCCTTCTCAGGTTATCTTCCCACCCCACTAGCTTTAATTATTGTTTCTGTAATGATCACTTCTCTCCTTTCCTAATTCATGTTAGTGAGTCTTTGCAGGGATATCTGGTTGTCACCTCAAACTCTATAGCTTATAACAAAAGGCCTTCTTGTACCTGCCAAAACCCCGATCCTCCCATGTAGTTCTTATCTCAGCTATTAGCACTTTGTTTTTGGTAATCACACACACTAGGAACCTTAATGCCATGACTGATTTTCTTTTTCTCCCATCCTCTTCAGATCCCTGTTACTCTACTTTTGCAACATCTCTCATTATCAAGCCTCACCTGTACTCCACCTCAAACTACATCTTGCCTAGGACACAAGTTGCTAAGCATATTCTTGCTTCCTACCTCTTCAAACATCCTTCATACATTTCCTAGCATTTCCTCCTAGAACTAAGGTCTAGAAATAATGTTTTTCTGGAGCCCTGGTGGATATACATACATGTTTTTCTGGAGCCCTGGTGGATATACATACATAAGGTGTGTATGTATGTATGTGCATATGTGTGTGTGTGTGTGTGTGTGTGTGTGTGAGTTTCAGTTAATAGGTAACATTTTCTCAATTATAAGTTTCTCCTGTTTTCAACCTCTGGCATCTGTCCCCCCTAGCTTTTAACCAAATCATTTCCATTTATAGATATGAATGTAGGAAATAGCTACAAAAATTCTCTTCCTAACTTCTCATCTCTCTAACTTTATAGCAAAACAACCCTCACTGCCCACCATGCTTACCACTGACCTTCCAAATCCACTGGTGACTCTCATGATCTATCAGACCTAACAAGTCATCAGTAACTGACTGTTCTCCCCCAGCACTGGGAATTGAACTCAGGCAGGGCACTGAACTTGCTATGCAAGAGTTCTACTACTTGAGCCATACCTCCAGCCCCCTGACTCCTCTTTAAAAATAATTCCTCTACTTGGCCCTTGGAAACCCGTTCCGTCTTGCTTCTGCATTTTTAGCTATTGTTTCATCTACTGTGCTGACTGTTACTAATCTTTCTGACCTCTAAACATCAGTGTTCCAGAACTCAGAAAGCAGACCACTTCTACCCAGTTACTCCCTAAGCAATCAGTCTCATTTAGCCCCATGGCCTTAATCACTATCTCTACAGTGAGTTGCCAAATTTATTTTCCAACTGGGACTTGTCTCTTGAACTCCAAACTTATCCATAAACTGTCCACTTAACATTCCACTTAGATGTCAGAGATGGCTCTAACATGTCCAAACTCCTCATTCTGCCTGTCATCCAGTTAACAGTGAAAAAAAAAGCAAAACAACATGCAAATCAGTATGCCTATGACCATGGCAACTTCTAGTCATTCAAACTAAAAACCTTAGTTTCTTCAATTATGTTTTTCCCCCTCCTGTTTTACAGCTGATCCATCAGCAAATTCTATAGGCAATTCCTTCAAACATCTGTAGATTGACGAGTTCTCTGCTCTCTACTCTACTGCTCTGGTCCAAGCACCAACACTTCTCACTAGAGCACTGGTTGGTCCCTTCGCTGGCATTGCTACTCCTGTCTTTGTTCAACTTACATTCTATTGTCAAGCTAGTGCTTTAGTGAGGCTTTGCATTTTTAATTAAGATCATGCTCCCTCCTTTCCAAATCCTGCCAATTGCCTGGTTTAACATCCTATCCATTCTCATCTCTTACCCATATCGCCTTTCCCTACTCAGCTTCAGGCTCAATAGCCTTACTATTCCCCAACACACTAAGAGCACTACTGCCTCAGGACCTTTATAAATGTCGCTCCCTCTGTGGAACACTCTCTCCGAATCTCTACGTGACTTCCATCCTCAAATGACACCCCAGAGAAGTGTTCCCTGACCACCCGACTTGAAATAACACTTCCTACTACAACCCACCATCCTCTTATATGCCTTATACTTTCTTTGTCTTCCTTCATAGTTCTTTTTTGACTGAGGGCCTCACACATACTATGAAGCACTCTACCACTGAGCTACACCCCTAGCACCTTCATAGTTGTTCTATCATGGCATTTGACACATTATGCACATGTTTTCCTGTCTGTGTCTCTTCACAAGAATTTAAGCTCTGTAATGACAGGAGCTATTTTTGCTCATTATTGTATGCGAATGTCTAGAATGCAGTATACATCATAGGTGCTCAAATGTTTGTTGAGTAAGTGTTGATGAGAAAATCTGCTATTGTTTGCTGACAGCATGTTAAAAACTAAAATATAGGATTTGATTTGGTATAAATGCATGGATTTATCCATTTTATTTTATTTTTGGTGGTACTGGGATTTAAACTCAGGGCCTTGTGCTTGCTAGGCAGTCATTTTAACTTTTAATTAATATATTGCAATTCTCTGTCAGGTCACTGCTTTTTTCCCTTTGCCCTAATTTCTAAATGAGTCTGAAAACAATTATCATTAAAAAAATACATACGTTTCAAGGGTTGGAGGTGTGATTCAAGCAGTAGAGTACCTACCTCATAAGTATAAAGCCCTGAGTTCAAACCCCAGTACCACCACCATTATTACCTCCAACTCAAACTATTTCATGAGTTTCTACTACCTATACAAAAATATCTACCTTTCTTCAAACAGATCAGATGTTCATGACTAGGGCTAGCCTGCCTCTTTAGCCTTTTTTACATTCTTCCTGGCAAGCCATTGTTTATGCCTTTCTATCAGTCAGAAAGACTCCTACTCCATTGGTTTGTCTAAATGCTACTCATTTTTCAAGGCATGGCTTAAAGGTCACTTCCTAGACAAAGCTTTTTCCCCAAATGCTGTAACTGAGTTTAACTGTCCTCTGTGTTTTCAACTTTGCATTCTTCAGAGGTTTAGCCCAGTGCTTTGCATACAAAATTGCCTCCAAAAACTTTTGCTGAATTCCTGTATAATTAACTTTGAAGCAGGATATAACTTACTAGTTGAGGAGCCTGGCTCGCTGTCATCAGCACTGTCGCCACCACTGCCTTCGGAAAGCATCTTCCTCTGCTGAGCCACAGCCTTTGACGCTGCTTTTCTTCTCCCTTGAACGCAACGCACGTCATCTTCCTCCATGATCTTATCCAAACCTTCAGGAGGCATAAACACCAATGGAAAACTTTTTTGTGCAGCTAATACTTCGAGAACTGCAGAAGAGTTCATTCATGTTCCCAGCTTCCTCTCTCCCCTGCTCTTGGTACACTACACAGCCCACGCTGGGTCAACATAGGACATCAGTCCTCAGTAACAGACTGTGGCTTCAGGGATAAGTCCAAGACCAAAAGAAGAGCATTTTCTTCCAAGAATGTTCAAGGAGGAACTGGGAAGATGTGACCCCTTTCTTCAGTGGTCAAGTGTCATAGACTAGAGGCCATAGGTAATCATGACCCTCCAGCAGGGAAGAAAGTAGGTCTGCAGTGAGACAGAACAAGACTAAAACATAAAGAAACAAAGGCCGAGTGATAGAAACCCTTGGCACATTTGATTTTGGTTACAGGAATTTAGGCTAAAGTTAGAAAAGTAGCATTATGGGTGAAGAAAATGATTATTAATATCAAAACTTACCTAAATAATCACTGGCTACACTGCAATTAGAGATACGAGGAGACTTATTCATTATTTCTGTTTTACTATTGCCATGTTTTTCAATGCCTAAATATAAGGAATAATGGAGAAAATTCAGACGAGCCCTAATCAACCATTGTCTAGAAACAGGAAGATTAGTGCTAAAATACAGTAATATTTAGACACAGGCACATGATCCCAAACCCAAACTAGCACAAGGATTTTAATTTTACTTGGAGATGCTAGCATATATTAGAAGTCTGGACTCTGAAATCAAACAAATTGAGGTTCAAATTCAGACTCTACCACAAAAACTGGCTTATCCTCTCTAAGACTCAATTTCTTCATCTATATATACCATGAAGATAAAAATAGTGTCTTATAGGATTAATATGACAGATTAAATGTTGATCTTACATGGAAATTATTTACTACAAGGCCCAACACATAGGAAACAGTCAATAAGCATTAATTATCATTTCTGTGTAAACGAATTAGCTGATGTTTAGTTCTCTCTAGTCATTATGGCCTTAAAATGTCAAGTGCTGGAATACCTGCATTGCATGTTCAAGGCCCAGGCTCCATCTCCAGCATCACAAAAACAAAATTTCAAACATTTAAGAGGCCTTTGAGTGTTGACATTGGTAGTGTTAAATCCCCATGCTACGAAGTGCTTACTCAATGAGAAGTGGTACTTCCAACGAACTCCTGCTATACACTTCAGTGGCTTCTGAGTTTAATTTTCCCACTTTGAGATAGAATACACAACAATTCTCTTTTGAAATTTCTTTGATTCCTGATTTCTAAAAGGTTCCCTATTCAAAACTGTTTCATTTATTTTTAAAGCAGCAATAGTGATACAAAAAAAAAAAAACCACAGAAAGACAAATATCTCACCAATATTTCCATATGCTGCAAGGTTGCCAGGAAAAAAAAATTCAAAGAAAATCCATAGGGAAATTCAGAAGTTATTCTCTTAAGTCTATCGAGCTTGCTAACCAAATCAGTACCTTTAACTATGATAAAAATTACCGTCCTTAGGTCATGTGTAGCTAAGCTGGATTTGAAGATAAAGGAAGTTGATTGTTACGATGGTGCTGATCATTTGCCCCAACATGTAACTGAACACCCGCGCTCACAGGGCATGTCCTTGGGCTTACTCTGGCCATCAAGTAGAGATGTGTATGTGTGTATGACACTGACACAGCTGAGAAAAGGACCAAATTTGACTGTATCCCTGCAACTTGCTCTTTTTATAGTTCAACTTTTACTCTTTCCTCTGTGAAGTCCATACAAAGAGATTACAAAACAACAAGGTTTTAAAGATAAATACAAAGAAAATAAAGTTACTTTTATCTTGAGACTTCTGCACATCATTGGTGACTGTCGGAACCTCCTTCACCGACAAAGCTAGAGCAACTTCTAAGCCTCTCTGGAAGAGCTTGTCATCTAAAGCCACCCTAAAGGAGACACAGGAATTATGAGTTTTTTCAAATACCAATCTCGACTACAGAGCAAAGTGTGAGGTTTTCCTATATTATTATTTAAGAATTTCTAACCTCACAAAATGTTTTTACTCAACCATCATCAACTGATCTTTGCTGGTGAGACTCCTGAAAAGTAACGACACCACATAATATACAGTACGTAGGTGGGAAGCATGAGCAGCCTGTGACTGTAATGTCTCTCTTTACCATCTGCTCTAAGAAGCACCTGCTCAATCTAAGGCAGACTTGGTTCAAACATCAGTTCCACTTAGACAGCTTTCTTGATCTCACCCACACCCCTCAGCAGATATTGTAGTTCTTATATCTTCTTTTGCTATTCCTCCTAATACAGACTAACAAATACTTCACTAAACATATACTGCACAAAAGCACTGCAGTAGCTGGAATACCGGAAGTGCTCTCAAGCAGTTTGTAATGTAACAAGGAAGGTGGGGAAATGCAAGACAGATTATAGGTCTCTTATTAAGCTTGGTCAAAAGTGTGATAGAAGAAAAGGAAGAAAAATCAAACACAGATAAGGAAAAACCCGTAGGAATGAGAAAGTACTAAAATGTACTTTGAAAGATTATTATTATGTTAACAGTTTTGAGATATAATTCACATACCACAAAATTACCCCCACACCCTTTTTTTGAGAGGTACTCCAGGCTGGCCTCAAACTCATGACCCTCCTGCCTCATTCTCCCAAAAACTGGGATTACAGCTGTGCATCACTATGCCAGGCTAAACTCACTGTGGTGAACACATATAAGATTGCTGTTGTATTGGTTAATTGTATTGTGTTAAAGCATAGAAAATTGTAATAAGAATTATTAGCTAGTGTGTGTTAGGACTAAGAAACCAAGCCAGAGAATGACAGGCTGATATGCAAATCAGCCAACCCTAAGGTGGTTAGACCGATAACACCAACTATGAGGTCACCACCAAACATAAAAACTCAAGCCTCACTAGTACTCATTGCTCGCCTCCCGAATGCTGGAGACCGCACTGTCGGAGCCCATCCCAAAGCTCTGATGCAGAGGCAGCCACCACTTGAGAGCACCGCCCCTTCTCCTGATGACCAGGTGTCACCAGTGAACCGCAAGATCGACCTGCAACTAAGATCAGCCATAAGGATTCCCCGGAGCTCGGATGGACTCCCCTTATCGGCTAAGAAGACGTTGCAGGGTGAGCAAGGCTTGGGGAAGGCCTGAGTAAATTCCTGGCTGGCTGGGGTAGCAGAGAACAGGACATTAGGATCTGTGAGAGAGTACCCTGTGGATTTGTTTGAACAGAATCCTGTTCTCTGAAGTAAGAGTCTCCTGACTACTGCTTACCCATACTCTATTGGTAATGAACTGTAAGTGCTCGCGACACTCACCCTTTTAAAGCTTACAATTCAGGGCTTGTTGTGGTGGCTCACCCCTGTAATACTAGCTTCTCAGGAGGCAGCGATTGAGAGGGTCATGATTTAAAGTCAGCCACAGCAAAAACATGAGACTCCACCTCAAAAATAACTCAAAGCAAAAAAGGGCTGGGGTATGGCTCAATTGGCAGAGCACCTGTGTTGTAGGCACAAGGTCCTCTACCACCAATAAATAAAGTGTACAATTCAGCAGTCTAAGTATACTCAGAGTTTTGAAACTATCATCACTACCTTACCCCAAAGAGAAGCTCCCGATCTATTAGCGGTCATTCCCATTCACCCCTCCTTAGTTCCAACCAACACTACCTGTTTCAATGGGTTAGCCTTTTGGAGGCATTTCACACTAATTGAATCATGTGGCCTTTTCCCACCAGCAATGCATGATGGTTCCAATCTCTCCACATTGTGGTTTTCACTTGTTATTGTCTATCATTTTTGCTACAGTCATCTAGTAGGAGTCATCATTGTGGTTTTGATTTGTATTTCTTTTGACAATTAACCATGAGCATCTTTTTGTTGGTTATTTGTGAATCTTCTTTGGAGTCTTGTACATTTTTAACTGGGCTATTAAGCCTTTTTATTGCTGAGTTGAAGAGTTCTTATATAATCTAGATGCAAGTCTCTTAAGTTATATGATTTGAAAATACTTTCTTCCAATTACGGGTTGATTTTTCCCTGTATTTAAGATGTAATACAAGAAACTCCAAAACAGAAAAAAAGAGCAAAACAATAAAATGCATGATAAGCAGTTCTTCTGCAGATTAACTTTTTGAAGAAAAATATGTAGCAGTAAAACATGACATACCCCACGTGCCAGCTGTTACTTAGTCTTCTGCTCCTCTCCTCTCCTAGGACTTCCTTTCCTCACTTTCTCCTCCCTTTTGGTACTAGCTAGTGGAAAGCCAGGGTTAGTCTAGACTATAGGACCTCTCACTGCTGCACAAATCACAAGAAGATAAAGAGAAAATAGCCTTTTTTTGGTGGTACTGGGGTTTGAACTGCTTCATGCTTGTTAGGCAGGTGTTCTACCACTTGAACTACACAACTAGTCCAAGAAAAAATATCTTTTATTTGAAAACAATTATATGTTTTAACATTTTTTAAAATTGTCCTTACAGGTGTAATTCTTCACAAAGTCGTTCTTATAGGATCTGAGGACTGCAGAGACAGGTACAGGGTTTGTAATTATTATTGTTTTAACATTTAAATTGGTATTTGTTTTTATATTTGTGAATATGTTCTTTAAGTCAGAAAGCTGGAAGGGGTTTTATAATATGCCCTGGCTCTGGTCAATATACGCTAAATAAAAAAAGACCTATCACTCTGCTCAAATTCTAACGTAAACCAAGAGTATAAAACTATATCTCTTTTAAATGAACACATCAAAAGTCATGTTTACTGAGTCTTACCTCTCACCTTTTTTTAGGAGTTTTCTCTGGTAATACAATATCTTCTTTCTGGAGATTCTTCAAGCTAGCTTTTGGATTGGTTTGTTTTAACTCCTTCGATATTGTTCTGGATTTCTTGTTTAAAGGTACAGGTGCAGAAACAAAATCATCTATTTATATGTAAATTAAAAAGAAAAGAAACAAAATTATTTTCTTGGCAGTTGAAATTCATTACAGTGTATTCAAGTTTTATAGGTTAGCAAGCTGTTTAATTTCTACAGTTTTAAAATCACTTTTGGTATTGTTTGTCTTTATTTTCACTCATCTGTTTCAACTCATCTTTGTTTTGGTTGCTTTTTTTTTAAATATTATTGTTATCAAGAAGAAACTCATTTAAAAACTGCAAAGGCAAATTAAGGTAATATAAATGTCAAAGAAAAATGATTAATTAAAAACTTGTAAAACCATTAGAAAAATTGTAGAATTTTAGCCCACTGAAAAGTAGAAGGAAATCATTTTTAATTAAACTTCACAACATAGCTAAGTATCTCTTCAAAGACACATCCCTTATTGCTAGTATGTTAACCAAGCTGAGGAAAGTGGGAGGCATCCAGGGAGGAGGAGGTAGCTCCTGCTTGAGGACTTGCCACACAGCAGTACATTCTCTGTCCATCGCCGCAATGGCCTTCTTGTGATCTGCCCAACGCTCTTTTTAATCCACTAGTGTTTCTCACAGGTTCTTTGGTCCTACCAATCCTCTGCACTATTGAAATTCTTTGGACCCTCAATATAAAATTGCCACAGTAGCTTTTAAACACGTATGCATACCTTCAGAGTTCATGTAAAGTTAACCCCATACTTTAGCATTTATTAATATATGTTACTTTTATGCTTCGCCACACAGAAATATGATAACTTACAACTTTCTGCACCTTCCACTCCACCCAGCGGCCAGAACACATCTGACAATTTATAAATACATGGTGACAGACTGATGACAGTAGTAAGAAGCCAGAAGTTATACAATCTATTGTTTTCTCTCAAGTTGTAGACAAACTGAAAGCTATGCCCAAAGTAAAACATCTTCCTTTGAACTAAGGAATTTGCCTTACAGAAACTCTATGGTCTGGAAAAGAAATATAAAACCTACTTCTGAGCTGGGTGACAGTAGTTCACGCCTGTAATCCTACTTACCTGGGAGGCTGAGATTGAGAGAAGAGCTGTTTGAGGCCAGCCAGGGCAAAAAGTTCCTGAAAACCCATCTCAAACAATAGTTGTGTGTAGTGACACACGCCTGTCATCCCAAGCTATGTAGAAGGGTCAGATCAGGAAGATAATGGTCCCAGGCAGTCCAGGCAAAAAGTGAGACACTATCTCCAAAATAACCAGAGCAAAAAGGGCTGGAGGCATGGCTCCAACAGAAGAGCACCTGCCTAGCAAGCACAAAGCCTTGAGTTCAAACCCCAGTACCACCAAATAAACAAAAAACAATTGATTCCTCAAACAACAACAAAACCCCAAACAAAAACACCCTCATTCTACACTGGAGGGTGTAGCTCAGTGGCAGAGCTGCCTAGCATGTGTGAGGCCCTATCAATGCCACCCCATCCCCCAAAAAAGGAAAGAAACAAAAACCCTACTTCAAAGTGTGACTTAATCTAATGTGACATTCCTCAAACTTCTAGAGCAAAGTTCTCTTAACAGCAAAGACAAGTAAACATAGTCAATATGACATAGTTTAAACTTTTCTTCAAGGTCTTATTTTTTTTCAGATCTACCTCATATGCATTTAGGGAATATATTTAGTATTTGGGCTACATGTAAATTCTGAAGAAATAAATTTCCAAACTTTTAAGCAAAAATAAATGTGACTTACCATCACTATCAGAGTCCTCAAACTGTGAGTAATTGACTGGTTTCTTATTTCTATGACCAAGATAGAAATTTCTCATTAACATAAATGTCAATTTCTTATCTCCATTTGCTAAGGCTATTTATTAGTAAAATAGTCTTGATTAATGAAAAATGTGCTGGATTCTCTTTAAAATACCTAAATCTAAAACATGATTAGCATTTTACAGCAGAGATTTAGCATTAGCTGAAAAGTTAAAAACCATCTATATGATGTCGAAGAAAATTAATTCAGATAACTCACAAAGTAAGAATAAATCCAGGTAATTAACAATTATGACTATATATTGTTTAGTGGCTATTGGGCATTTATAAATTTCTGTTATATGTGTCATTATTTTTTATATGCATTCTGTTTTCCTTATTATATTATAAACTTCTTGACAATAAAAGCTAGTTTCTTTTTTCCAATCTCTTCACAACACCAAATGTTTTTTAATGCAACGGACACTTAAAAAATGATGAGGGCCAGGCATGGTGGTACACACCTGCAATCCTTACTACTCGGAGGCAGAGGTAGAAGATCAAGTTTCGAGCTCAGTGCTGGCAAGGTAGCACTAGAACCTACCAGAAAAACAAACTAAAAAAGCAAAGGACAGGGGCAGTGACTCAAGTTATGGAGTATCTGCCTAGAAAGCACAAGACCCTGAGTTCAATTTCCAGTACCACAAAAAAAAAAGTGACTTTGCTCCTCCCATCAGAAATGAATCTTTACACAACTTTAGAAGACATTAGAAGAACGTGATGTTCAAAGTTATCACCTTCTTCTATCCTCTAGGTATAAATGATAGAGTTATCGCCTTCTATCCTCTAGGTATAAATGAAAAGTCTTCCAGCTTTTGTTTGTCTTCTGCCAAAAGCCCAGTGTGAGTAACCCAGTTTGTTAGTTGTCTGTCCTTTCATGTAAAATGGGGTTCTGTGAAATAGGCTCACTCAGCTCCTAACTCAACCTTACAAGTATGTTTCCTTGAGAGAACCAACATGCTTCAGCATGGAGAGTGCTTTATGTGAACCTCCCATCTCCTCACACACAACGTTAAAATGAATGGTTCTCATGTTGCTCTCCCACTGTCAGTTAGAAAATTTGATATCTAAATAAAATAAAATCTTGAATTTAGGAGATTCAGAGACTGGGACTGAAAAATAGAAAAATAAAATCAAAAGCCTATTAAAAAGAGACATACATCCAAGCGTTGAGCTGTAATTCTTACTGATTCATGAAGCACACTTTGATTTGGGTTTTGTTTTGTTTTTGAGACAGAGCCTCTCTATGTCACTATGTTGCCTAGGCTGGCTTAGTATTCCCAATTCTCCCTCCTTAGCCTCTTTAGGGCTAGAATTACAGGTGTGTGCCACCACACTCCACTTGTCATGAAGCACATTCTTAAGTGAAACTAGGATTTTCCTTCCTTCCTTTTTTAAAAGTCTGAATACGTGGCAGTAAATAATGCAATGACAACTATAATCCTAGCTACTCAGGAGACAGAGATTATGGTTCAAGGCCAGCCCCAGTGAAATGTGAGACCCTATCTCAAAAATATCCAATACAGAAAAAGGGCTGGCAGAGTGGCTCAAGAGTTAGATCAACAGCCCAGCAAGCATGAGGCCTGGGTTCAAACCCCAATACCACAAATAAAAAAAAAAAAAAAGCAGTGACTGCCAGTACAGTTTGGTGCCACTGTCTTGATCTGTACTACAGCACCAGCAGTTCTATCATCACTGCAGTGCAAATGCCAGAAAAGTGGAAAAAATGAATAATGCTTTAGTATTATTCACAGGGACCAATACTGACCACAGGAACCTCCTGAGATGGAGTTAGGGGTCCCAAAAGGTCAACAGACTACACTTTGACTACTGCTGGTCTAAACAGAGGCATTGTGTCTTCACTACTTGGATGCTTAAAGCCCATTTCAAAGTTAACAAACTGAAAGCAGGAATCTTTATCCCCCATGCCTTCTAAACCTATTCCTTTCCCTAGACTTCCCCATCTCAGTTAATACAAAGATCATCCATTCAGTAGCTCATACCACAAATACTACAGTGTCACCCTTGATTCTTCTTTTCCTTTATCTTCCAGTCCACTTGTGTCAACAGTAACACCAAAACTAAGTAATGCCAAATATTCATTTGTTCTATTCCAATCCACTAACAACATCCTACTCCAACCCACTACCCAATGATATCATAGCCCCTAATTGGTTTGTCCTACTTCCATTCTGGCCACCCTATCCCTCATTTAATCTCTATCAATAGCCAGTGACCTTCATAAAAGTAAACTGGGATTCCTCTCCCCAATGGCGATTTCTCTCCATTGACTTCCTATTGAACTTGAATAAAATCCAACTTCTTTCTAAGGTCTACAAGGCCTTACCTGGTCTAGCAACTGCTTATTTGTCTGACTGAATCCTCTACAATTCTCCCCACTGCTTGCTAATGGTACAGTCTTCAGTCTATCCCTCCAACACGGTCAAGTTTCTGGCCTTGGCTCCTATTCCATCTAACTGGATTGCCCCTATTTTCTGCCTGGCTAACTTCTCATCATTCATGTCTCAGGTCCTAGTGACCCTATTTAAAGTAAGGCTTTCTTCTCTCCCATTGTCTCCTGTTTATTTTCAGCCCCAAGCCTCATTTGCCTCTAGAATGTAACTCCCAGCACCCAGTACAGTATATAAGTAAACATATTCAATAGCTCTACTATTGAATGAATGTCTGCCCCTGGGCTTCAAGATTCTCAACTGTCACTGAGTAGAGCAGTAATGCCCAATGGCAGAGAGGAGCTGGAGTCACATAACAGCTTTGAGCAACGTCCTGCTACTAACTAACTGTGCGACCCAGGTAAATTAGTCTTTATGCCCAGGTGTTTTAAATGCATAAACTAGGAATGCTACTCTTTTTATCTTGAAAGGCTGCAGTGACGAATAAATGGATGGCAGGTAAGTACGAGCTGGATGAAATGTAAAACGCATTCCAACGCTAACATATTACAAGATCTTATGGAAGAAAGGACAGCAGCTGCGAACGGAGGTAGAGAGGAAGAGCTCTGAACTATGGATGGCTGTCAGTAGACTGTCCCCATAATCCACCCCCCCCACTCTAACCGCACGGCCCTCCGTCGGACCCGCCCCCAATCCTGGGTTGTCTACAGCGTCCTCCTGCTCTTTGTCCCCCACCACGCGGGATGTCATGAACTACTCACCGCACGGGGCGCACCATGGTCCCCTTCAAGAATGCTAACCTGAAGCTCCCTAAATCTCGGTGGCAGCAGAGGCGGTTTCAATTACCGCGCAAAACCCGTCATCGCGCTCCCCGCCCCAAAGTTCCGCGGGTCCTCCAATCACCACCAGCCAGCCTGCGGCGGCGCATGCGCTCTGAGAAGATCAGCCGGCACGCCACTCTCCCAAGACACGCCCTTCCACATCCTGTCGGAAGGGCGGTCCAGTTTGTGTTTGGTCGCTGCAGTTTCGCCACAAGAGCGGTTTTTGTACTTTCTCTGAAATACGTAGTAACATTATTAATGCAGTGTGTTGCACCTTTCAAACAAATAAACTTACATAGACTGAAGCAAAGAGGTACTTGTACCGAGGGGTTTTCTATAAGGTGACAGAAGAGAGGACAAGAAGGAGTGAATCTGCCAGGACGGATCTGCTGGCTGTAAAAACAAGCAGGCTAGTCAGCTGACGACCCCAGTGCCCCGGCTCCTTGACAGCTCGGAGAGTGCAGACCGCCCAAGCGAGGTGAGCCCAGAACCCAGAGCGGGGAAGCCCCCTTCAGACTGAAAGCCCTAAAGAAGGGCTGGTATCCTCCCTTAGCTGTAAAATCCCCGCCCGTCAGGCTGCCTTCCCTCGGCTGCACCGAGTTCGGTGCATCCCTCTCCCATCCCATTCTTGGACAGGAAACCTTTGATTTCACAGTTGCTAAAACCGAGACCAGGCTTTAGGATAGACAACTTACACCTACCCCCAAAACTGAGCGAAGGGAAAATGGAACGAAAGTATCAATTTGTTGAAACACAAGTCTAAATGTTGACCAGATGGAAACCAGAGCTGATATCTTTGTTTACCGAAAGCTCAGTGAATCTGAGCTGGATTAGACTGTAATAGACCCATATGTCTGCAACTTTCAGATCCTTTATTGCCTGTGATTTTATTCTATCTACTCAGTAGCTTCTGAGTTTTGTACTGATAGGTTCCTAGATGGCTTGTTTTTATCGTTACTGGCTTCCATTTATTGATCACTTATGTTTGTCAGATACGAATATTGATGTTATTTGATTGATTTTTGGGACAGATAGTCCTTCAACTTAAGTGGCATTATCCCTGATGGGCAATTGTTCAGACAGCAAGTAAATGGCAGAGTCCAAATTTCAACCATTTGAATGATGATCAAAGACCGATTTGGTTTGCATGCATCACGTTAGGGGCTATAGTTTGTCTATAGCTCTCACAGTCTGAGGAGTGATAGTGATGAAGATGGAGATGTAAACAGGGTTTAGATCATGGAGAGTCTTGTATGCCATGAAAGAGAAGTTTTGGAAGGAGATAGTGGGGATATTTTAAGCGAAGGAAATTTAAAACGTGGAGGGATGGGGGTAGATGCTCCACTGGAACTAAGGAAACACTTCAGCTGTTTAATCAAAATAGAGATGATGATACCACACACACTCAGGGGAATGTCTCTTTTTGTGTCATCTGATTCTCTCCTGCATTGCCGAAGGTCAGAGCTTCCTGACTGTGCAAAGCTCTGGATTCTCCACATTACCTGGCACTCAGTATTGACCCACAAGAAGCTTTCTAATGTAAGTCATTTCTTTTTCACCACATGTATTTTTCATGTAGCAGAATCATACATTTTTAGTAATTTTTTTATCTTAGTTCTTCTAAAAATGTATTTTCACATGTTGCTTCATCTTTTCTTCACATTCCCAACAAGCAAAACTGCTATTTTTTTAATTACTTCAGTTCAGGAAAGTTTTCTCTCCCTCCACCCTTCCCTTCTCCCTCTTCCCTTCCCTTCTCCCTTTTCTTTTCCTTCTTTTTCACTAACTCTCTCACTCTGTTTTGTTTTTAAATTAGGGAATACATTCAGTAAAGTGTGAAAAAGTATTTCAAGTGAACAGCTTGATGAATTTACCACCCTCATGACAATATATTTTCCAGCCCCCCCACCAAGGCTCCTTCAGACTCATTCAAAATTAATAATCCACACCCCAGGGGTAAATACTGTTCTGATTCTGTGACCATCAATTAATTTTGCCAGTTCTTGAATTTCATAGAAGTAAAAGCATATAGTATGTACTCTTTTATGTGTACCTCCTTTGTTTGACATGTGAGATTCATTTTGCTTTTATTGTCTTATTGCTGTGTAGTATTTCATGAAATAAGTAAACCTCAAAGTTGCTGTTTTCCTATTGATAAGGATTTTGGTTTCGTTCCAGTTTGTGGCTCCTATGAGCAAAACTTGTATGATCATTCTTCTGTGTGATTTTTAGTGAACGTGTGTGTAGTTAGATACATATTCAGGAGTAGAATTTATGCATCATAGAACAGGTCTTCTTGTGGTTTTGGTAGTTGTTGCCAGCTTTCTAAAATTGTACGACTTTCTATCAGATGAATGTTAGTTAACCAATTCTGTGAGAAAAACATAAGTCCTCCATCTCTTTGCATTAGACTGAGGTGGACTAAAAGTTTTGTGCATAGCCTACATACATATTTGAAAATGTAGTCCAGGTAATTCAAGTCATCAGCCTCCTACCCCACAGAAAGTCCTTTGTGTTATTTTTATATTTCAGTGACCTCTCTTTTATAAATGTATGTTAATGAGATTCATGGTGATATTTGCATACATGTATACATCACATGCTGACTATATACATCCACCTTTCCACATGCCCCATCATCCATCCCAGCCCTAGTAATCACTGTTCTACTTTCAGGCAGATAGCTTTTTTATAAAGCACAATATGAATGATTATTTGTTGTTTTTATTTTTTCCAATGAGCACCAAAGAGTAAAAACATCATACAACTCAACCACTATTTATTAACTTTTGTCATTATACTCTCTGATCTTTCCTGACACATGGAATTAATTCAACAAAACAGAAATCCTTCTACTTGAAGTAAACTGTTCCAGTGAGAATAAGAACTAGAGCATGATAGCTGCTATATGTCTGACAAACCTGATAGTATAGGAGCCTGTAGTTAGTACATAATGCACTTTGAGGGAGTTGGGGCAGGCCTCCTGGGGGCTATCTACATTGAGACCTGAGGAGTAAATAGTTGTTCTCCAAGAAAACTATGACCAGTAAAAATGTTCTAGGAAAAGGAAAAGTCATTCAGAAAGGTTAACAGTGGAAGGAGAAGTTTGATATTGACAGGTGTACAGTGTGGCCAGATATTAAATTTGTAAATTTGTATGTTGGAGTCTAGAGATGTAAACTGTGTTAAGGAATTTGAATTTTATCTAAAGAGCAATGGACTGTCATAGAAAGGTCTTAAGCAGATGAGCAGTGTGAAGCTAAGTGTATCCTATTTTTTAGGAAGATTACTATGACATCAGTGTAGAGAGTGCAGAGAATGGTATTAAAACTAAATTGAGGGCTGGGGGTGTAACTCAGGGTAAAGTATTTGCCTATCATATACAAGGCCCTAGGTTTTATCCCCAGCACCTCAAGAAATAAAAACTGATTTGATAAGGGAAAGCCAACATGGAGTCCCCTGTAACCAAGCTGATAAATTAATCCTTAATTGGTATTGATTCTTACTCCCTTTAACTAGATTTTCTTCTTTCCAATTACTATCCAGTTTGGCCAGTCATGGTGTCATATACCTATGATCCCAGCACTCAGGAGCCTGAGGTAGGAGGATTGTGAGTTCAAATGCCAACCTGGACTACATAGCAAGTTCCAGGGCAGCTTGAACTATATAGTTACACCCTTTCTCAAAAAGCCAAAAAAAAATCGTGTCCAGTTTGCCTTAGATAGTCATCCTGTACTTTCTATTTTTCTGTAGATCTGCTTTCCACATGGAGATCTTTCTAACATTCTCTTACCCTTGTCATCAGATCTCGTGACCACAGCCTCTCTGATCTCCATGGTCAACACTTGTTTTGATCCCTGATCTGTTTCTTTAACTTTGTTCTCACCAACTCTTTCCTAACCTCTGTATCTGTCCCCTTATGCATCTCTTCCTAAGAATCCTTTTTGCTTATCTCTCCCTGTTCCTTCCCTAGCATTGAGAGCAATACTTAGGAATACAAAGTATTTTGTGAGCATACACTTAATAGTGTTTTGATTTTAAAAAAAAGAAGTAGAAGAAGGAAGACTTCACTTTCATCATGAAGACTAAAGTGCAGAGACAAATACTTGGACAAAACTAGAATAATTGGTTCAGAGTCACCCAAATAAAATCTCTGACTGGTGGAATGCTTTTTTAGACATGGTGCAGCAATAACAAAGCCTTGTGTTTTTTTATGGACTTATAACTTTCTGCTTTTTTTTGTTAGTTCCATAGAAATATGAAGAAAAACCGAGAAAGATTCTGCAACAAAGAAAGGGAATTTGTGTATAAATTCAAAGTAGGAAGTGAGTGCTTAGAACTGAGGGTGCCCCTCCTGTTTCCTGTTCAAGAGAACGCCAGTCATCTGCATGGACGTCTGATGCTGCTGCACAGCTTGCCATGCTTTATAGAACACGGTGAGGACTAATTTTTCAAATCAATAGTACTTTTCTTTCCTATAGTTTCTATCATTAGAGACCAGCCTGCGCAAATAGTCTGTGAGATCCCATCTCCAAAAATAACCAGAACAAGATGGCCTGGAGGTGTGGCTCAAGTGCCAGAGTGCCTGCTTTGCAAGTGTGAAGCCCTGAGTTCAAACCCCAGTCACACACACACACACACACACACACACACACACACACACACACACAAATGGTTTTATTTTAATTGAAGAATTCTATTAAGAGTATTAGCTTGATAAAATAAACTTCATTATAGAATACCCAGGTAAAATTTTCCCTATTCTGAGTTCTGCTGTCCCTCTTACAGACTTAAAAGAAGCTCTGAGCCAGTTTATAGAAGAAGAATCTCTCCGAGATTATGACAGAGAAGCTGAGGCATCCTTGGATGCTGTGAAATCAGGGGAAGTAGACTTACATCAGCTGGCAGGCACTTGGGCCAAAGCTTATGCTGAGGTAAGAAAATAGGTCAGATTGTACATTTCAAGGATATTCCAAACTTTGACCAGGATTTGT